AACATCTCCAAGATACAACCATTCCTAACCCCAGAAACCCCTAAGCAACTTATTCACTCCCTTGTCATATCTCGCCTTGACTATTGTAACTCCCTCCTCATTGGCCGACCTATCCCCCATCCAGTCTTTCATGAACACTGCTTCCAGACTCATCTACCTCACTAACCATTCTGTATCCGCCTCCCCTCTCTGCCAATCCCTCCACTGGCTCCCAGTTGCCCAACGGATAAAATTCAAAACTCTAACAATGACATATAAAGCCGTCCACAACTCTGCACCAACTTACATCACCGATCTTATCTCTAAATATCACCCAAACCGTACACTCCGCTCCTCTTACTCTCTAGCTCCCTCATCTCCTCCTCCCATGCTCGTCTCCAAGACTTCTCCAGGGCGTCACCCATCCTCTGGAACTCCCTACCCCAATCTATCAGATTATCACCTACCCTACTTGCCTTTCGGCGATCACTGAAAACCTTTCTCTTCAGGGAAGCCTATCCTGCCCTCTGCTAATTCTAGAATCTTCTACTCTTCCAACTAGTCCATCCCCCACAGTGACTACCTACTGTACCATTCACCCCGCCCTCCTAGATTGTAAGCTCAAGGAGCAGGGCCCTCAAATCCTTCTTGTATTGAACTGTATTGTTACTGTATTGTCTCCCACTATAATGTAAAGCTCTGAGCAAACCGTTGGCGCTATATATAAATCCTGTATTATAATAATAATAATAATAATACTTCATCTTCTTTTGTAATGATCTCAAATGATGAGTCTTCCAAGACAGTTGACTACAAAATGCCAAGTTAAAGGGGAACTAAACTGTATCTGATCACCACAAACTGAAACTGCATTTTAATTCATTTTTAATATTCAAAGCAACTCATCCATGCATCCATGCCTCCATGTTTTTATTTGGTTAAGAAATCAATTTGAAAACCCCCCCCCCCCCTCCCTAGCATTGCTAGCTGCTGCCATCTTCAGTAAGGCAGATGATTCATGTAGCATTTATTTCCTGGAATCCATCTGCCCTTAGCTCAGGCATGCAGGCAGGAGGGTGTGCTTAGCTGAGAAAGCCCCTCCTCCAGCAGCAAAAGGAGCATAAGGATTAAAAATAGTTAATGTTGATTGAGAGAGTTTAGCTCCACTTGTTGATTGAGAGAGTTTAGCTCCAGTTTAACACATTATGTTGTCATATCATGGCACTGGTTGTCAACATACGAGGAATAATTCAACAGAAACATATAAGCTATATGGAAACAAATCTGTAAAAATATGCATATAAATACTGTATTCTCAAAAGGAAAAACATGCATTACTCTTTCTGCATATGTGTATATCGGGTGGACCAGGGGCGGACTGACAACTCATGGGGCCCCCGGGCAATAGGGGATCATGGGGCCCCTGTGTCCTTGCCCAAAATCAAAAAAGCCTATGAAAAAGGTACCAGGGGCATGTCATGGGGACCCTACTGACCCCGGGCCCTCGGGCAGTGCCCGAGTTTCCAAATGGTCAGTCCACCCCTGGGTGTGAACATTCTGAAATATCTAAATGATTGTTTTTTTCATATTCGATGATCATTAAAGTGTTACTAAACCCACAACAGTAAAATCAGTCTGTATATGCAGTAAAGTATGCTTGGTATACTCACTGTGGAACCTAAGGGGTTAATCCTCTGCAGTGTGTAAAAAGGCTGTTTGATCCTGACTTCTCTGATCCTCCCCTTCTTTTGCTGTTCCCAATCCATCTGCCAAAGTACAGAGCAGCACTGGCAAGTTTTCACATGCTCTGTTTGGTGTGTATTGCTAGAGAGTTTTTTATTCCTTTGAGGGTGCATGTGATCGGCACAGGGCCAATCAGCGCTGTCCAAACAGAGGGTCAGGGGTCATGCAGCCTCAAGGGACAGCCAGAGGAAAATAAACTACTCCTACAAGCTTTAACCAGTGCTCAGCTGGACACTGATAGAAGTCACAAGATTGCTATATACTGCTGATGAGAAAAGGTATTTAGCAGTTTATTAAATTAGTTGCATTTCCATGTTCTGTGTACTGTGGGAGACCAGATATAGTGAATGCCGGGTCCTGGGTTTAGTAACACTTTAATGTTCTCCTTTCATTATACTATGGCCTACTACCTAAACTGGACAGAAGACTCAGTGCTTGTGTTCTGATATTACCAGAGAGATATCACAGGATGTTGCACAACTAAGAAATCTTCAATAATCTAATTATAGAATGTAGAATGCACCAAATATGGTATTGCACTTGGATCTGTTCGTCTAGTTTATGTTTATGAGTTAATGCACTGTTGTACAAATCATACTAATTTATGGTACCTTTCATTTTCTATATTTTATTTGGAGCGTATTGTGTTTGATGCTAGATTCTGTATAGTTATGTCAATAAATACAAATAAATATTTTATAAAATCGCGTCTGAGCTTTATATACTGTGTGTGTGTGTGTGTGTATGTGTATATATATATATATATATATATATATATATACACACATTTTTTTTTTTCATATCGTGTGTGTCTCTTAGCACCAGTTTCCTTTAACCCCTTCAAGTCCGAACACTTTCACCCTCTTCCTGCCCAGGCCAATTTTCAGCTTTCAGTGCTATCACACTTTGAATGATAATTTGCGCAGTCATGCAACACTGTACACATATGAATTTTTTTAGCATTTTTTTGAGACAGATAAAACTTTATTTTGGTGGTATTTATTCACCACTGGGATTTTTATTTTTTTGCTATATAAATGAAAAATTCCAAACATTTTGAAAAAAAAGTGTTTTTCCTATAAAATTTTGCAAATAAATAATCTTTCTTCACAAATCTTGGCCAAAATATATTCATCTATCTTTTTAGTAAAAAAAAAAAAAAAAAAAAACCCAAATTAGTTTATAACCAAAAATTATAATTTTTATATAAATTTTGACTTTTTTTGACTCTTTTTTTACTGTCAGCTGCCTTAGCAGTTTTTTTAAAACACTACCCCCATCTTTTTTAATATTCACTGTCACCTTAGCAGTACAGTATCACCACAGTGACAATGTACTACTTGTGGGGGGTAATGAATTTTTATTTTTACACTTATTTCTTTTACACCCATAAAGGCTGTAAAAGCAATAATTTCTCCTTCTCTCTGCCTGCATTCTTGCAGCTATTGAGAAATACTGTGTGAGTTGTGATTGGTCACAGCTTGTCACATGGGACAAGGCTGTTGTGAATGGCCTTGTACCATGTGACCTCTGTGATCATTCACAGATTTCACAAGTAATAAGCAATGATGTCAGGAATCGACATCTTGTTTACTACAGTTCATGTGATCACTGATTGGCCAATCAGTGATCACATAATCGGGACCTTACACAGAGGTCCCGTACAGCGATTGGTGTTCGGAGAACACAGCGGGAAACGGATCACGGTGCCGTGTGCACAGGCAGAGAAGTGGGAAGGATGTTTATAAATGGCCACCAGCTCCTGCACTGCTCCCGTCTGGCCGTTTATAAACATGGGCTGGACGGTTAGTGGTTAAAGAGGAAAAAAACACCTTCCTTCATTCCATCCATGGTAATAGTAGAAGAATTAGCAAAACTGAAGATACAGGTTGGAATTTTAGTCTGCAATTTGTGCCTTTATTTATTACAACAAATTAGCTTACCTACATGGTCTAGATAGTTAATAAGATGTCATTTTTCATTTTGTATTATTTGTATTACATATTTTGTATTTATTCACTGGGGGTTGATTGGGGTTAAATTTGAAAGAATCGTATTTAAGAAAAAATGTATTTTACGTGTTTACAACAGCGCACATTTGGAACAGGTCACAGAGAATCCTGTAAACTGGTAAAACAGCTGCAACAAAGTACAATGTTTCTAAATTGTTACACTGCTTCTATCAATGATTAATGTAACAAACTTAAAGTGGCTGCAAACCTGATCTGAACTATGAACAAAGCATTTCCCTCTATAGCAGGGGTAGGCAACCTTAAAGGGTAAAGTTCACCTTTTGGACAAAAATAATAAATGCACATTTTTTTTGCAGGTAAAAAAATGTGCATTTATTATTTTTTTCCAAAGGAGCCTGGAAAGCATGGCACCAGCGATCAGTAGATCGGTGCAGGTCTCCTGCAGACCTGTCCAGGGGCGGACTGACCATTTGGAAACTCGGCACTGCCCGAGAGCCCGGGGTCAGTAGGGGGTCCCATGAGATGCCCCTGGTACCTTTTTCATAGGCTTTTTTGAGTTTGGCCAAAGACACAGGGGCCCGATGTTCCCTTATTGCCCGGGGGCCCCATGAGTTGTCAGTCCTCCCCTGGACCTGTCAGTATATCTGCTTGCTGTACAGGATGTATGAGCCAAGCAGATATAATGACAAGAAACTTCAATGAACTACCACGGCGCTCCACAATGCCGTGGTAGTTCATTGAAAACTACAAGCCAACAACCGCTAAGGTAGTCAGGACTTGCAGTTCATTCATTCACGGAAATCCGTGAATAAATGACGCGGCAGTGTGGGTGGAGCCTCGCCGACCACGCTGTTTTCAAATCTGACAAACAGTACAGGGAGCCTTCTCCCTGTATTATATGTTAGAGGGAGGGGGACATCGGGGGCAGCTATGGGAACATGTTACATGTTCCACGCTAAAAATGGGTGGAACATGTAACATGTTCCCAAAGGTGAACTTATCCTTTAAAACCACTTGCCTACCGGGCACTTTTACCCCCTTCCTGCCCAGGCCAATTTTCACTGCTGTCGCACTTTGAATGACAATTTCACGGTCATACAACACTGCACCCAAACACATTTTTTATCTTTTTTTAGACATATAGAGCTTTCTTTTGGTGGCATTTAATGACCATTGCATTTTTTATTTTTTGCCAAACAAACTAAAAAGACTGAAAATTTTGGGGAAAAAAAGGTTATTTTGTTTCTCTTATAAAATTTTGTAAATAAGTAATATTTCTCCCTCACTGATGTGTGCTAATGAGACTGCAGTGATGGGCACTGATATGCTGCACTGATGAGGAGGCACTGATAGATGGCAATGATGGGCATTGATAGGCATCACTGATGGGCACTGAAAGGCAGCACTCATATATGGCACTGATAGGCAGCACTAATTGGCACTGATAGGTGGCTCTGACTAGCACTGATAGGCGGCACTGATTGGAACTGTTAGGCAGCACTGACTAGCACTGATAGGTGTCACTGAAGGCACTGCTCTGGCAGATGAAAGGCAGCTCTGATGTGCACTGGTATGTGGCATTGATGGGCACTGACAGGTGGCATTGATGGGGCTACACTGGTTCATCAGGGCACTGATTATCAGTGTAGATGTCCCCTCTAAGGAATGCCGATTACCGGCTCTCCTCATTGGCTCTTTAGTGTGATGGGTGATCCGTTGTGTCCCAGGTACACAGCACACCAGCGATCGCCGTGCGCCCCCAGGGGTGTGCATGTGCAGTTAGAATAGGAGGACGTCATATAACATCCTCCCAGAATGAGAGAACCACCGCCCACCCGTTATTTCCTTATAGGATGGGCGAGAGGCGGTTAAAGAGGTGGAGATCTACCTGACCAACATGGGAGAAGTCAAAGATCACCGGCACGGTGTCACCTCCTCACACCTGATTTAAACCTCTAATTGCCATACTACAGTGTCACGATCACATGCACTGCACAACAAGCATGAGTTTACATTAAGTGGTGAGGAGGCAAAATATCACCTCCTCACCACCTGTCAAACACACTCAGATCACTTTTCAGAGGAACAGCAGTGTCTGCTGCACTTGTGAATGAGCTCATAGTTGCATACAGCAGTGGCTACCTTGTTCAAATGTAAAGTTAGGGAGGGAGAGTAAAACTCTGTGGTTGAGTCGCTGTTTTACTGCCCCCATCCCTACCCTTTTTAGCTGCCAAAGGTGTACACATGCTGCAGCAGGAGGAATTAAACACCTTGTTGCTTTTGGTGGGTGCTACCACCTGCCAATGGTGACCCATTCAAGTAAATGGGGTCACTCTGCAAGCTCCCCACAACTGCATGCTCCTGCTTGGTTCAAGGGATAAAGCAGATGGTGAAAAAGCAACACAACGCTGTCTTCCTTAACCCCTTGTTTGCTGTACTGCAAAAGGTTGCAGGGCACTGCAGAGCGGCCTCATTCACTTGAATGGGTCATGCTTTGTAAGTGTTACACCCAACAACCATGACAGAGGGTATAACTCCTGCGACATGTGTACCCCCTGGCCACTGCAACTAAAGAGGGTACGGTTGGGGCGGGAAAAACATGTCCTAACATTGGGGTTTTACCACCCTCCAAACTGCAAATGTAAATGAACCCTTACTGTTCTGAGCCCCCTATATTATTATTATTATTATTATACAGGATTTATATGGCGCCAACAGTTTGCTCAGCGTTTTACAATATAACGGGAGACAATACAGCAACAATACAGTTCAATACAAGAGGGATAGGAGGGGCCCTGCTCCTTGGAGCTTACAATCTAGGCGATATATAAGGCTGCTTTTACACTGATGCAGTTTACCTGCCTGGCAGGTGCAGTGCAGCGTATCTGCAACTTCCCTATGGGTTAGCTGTGCTTGGCTGTAGACCTCTATTATATCTATTTCTGAAAGTGCACCACACCTGCAGGATATATTAGAAATCTATGGCTAAGTGCAGCAAAACTGCAGGAAAGCTGCAAAACGCATGCTGCTACAGCACCTTGCAACTCAATGCGGCGTAATTTCAAAATAGAGTAGGTTATTCTTTCCTTGTGTGTCTTGCAGGTAGGACAGCCCATAGAAATGAATGGGCTCACTACACAGCAGTGCTGTGAATTGTATAACAACACATGGTGCCATCCAGTGCCCTGCAGAAAAATGCAGATATGCTACATAACTGCAACTCAGACCAACATTGCCGGGTGAATAGGCACCATTTTTTTCTAGGTGCCCTAGCAGTGACAGAGCACACTTGCTTTTCTGCGTGTTTTAGCACATCACATCTACAATGGCTTATTGATTTCCGTGAACTACTCTATGTGCAAGAAATATGCAAAGAAGTACCTGACCCATTTTAGAAATTGCACCACATCACAGTGCAGGGTACTGCATGCATTCACGTTAGAAAGATGCATGGGGTGCCATTAAGAATCAACCTAGATTTAAACCTTTACGTGTCAGGAACGTGTGCAAAAATCACGCATATTCCCAACACAGAAATGCACTGCCAGTTGTGCAGGAGTGCCTTTAATTGTTAATGTCAACCCCTGCAAATGTGCTGCGTTTTCATGCACACCAAACCGTGTGGTGCCGCAGCACCATGCCATTTGGTGTGGCGTATCTCTGGAAAAGAGATCTCCGGAAAATAATCTGGGACTTCTGCTTTTCCATGTTTCTTGCGAGTAGGGAAGCCCATTGAAGTGAATAGGTTGCTGTACATGTGATGCGTGGGAACATGCACGTTCACACCTCTCTGCAGATGGGCAGTGTGTTTTTGTACATTGGGGGAACAACACATTGGGTGAAAAAAGCCACCACATGGTCACAAAATCACAGAGCATATGAAAAACATTACATATACATACACATTTATATATATATACATACACCCTCGCTAGCCACTTTATTAGGTACGCCTGCTCAATTGCTTGGTAATACAAATTGCTAATCAGCCAATCACATGGCAGCAACTCAATGCATTTAGGCATCTAGATGTGGTGAAGACAAGTTGCTGAAGTTCAAACTGAACTTCAGAATGAGGAAGAAAGGGGATTTAAGTGACTTTGAACGTGACGTGGTTGTTGGTGGCAGACCTGCTGGTCTGAGTATTTCAAAAACTTTTCACACACAACCATTTCTAGGGTTTACAGAGAATGGTCCAAAAAGAGAAAATATCCAATGAGTGGCAGTTGTGTGGATGAAAATGCCTGGTTGATGTCAGAGGAGAATGGGCAGATTGGTTGGAGATGATAGAAAGCCAACAGTAAATGAAATAGCCACTCATTATAACCAAGGTGTGCAGAACACCATCTCTGAAAGCACAACACATCGAACCTTGAAGCAGATGGGCTACAGCAGCAGAAGACCACACCTGGTGTCACTCCTGTCAGCTAAGAACAATAAACGTAGGCTACAATTTCCACAAGCTCACCAAAATGGGACAATAGAAGATTGGAAAAACATTGCCTGGTCTGATGAGTCTCCATTTCCCTAGAGATGGTTGTGCATGGAAATCTCAGTAGATCAGCAGTTTTTTAAAAATACTCTGACCAGCCCATCTGGCAAAAACAACCATGCCATATTCAAGGTCACTTAAATCCCCTTTCTTCCCCATTCTGATGCTGAATCCTTCTGATTCAGCTTGTACTTCAGCAAGTCATCTTCACCACGTCTAGATCCCTAAATGCATTGAGTTGCTGCCATGTGATTGGCTGATTAGCAATTTGTGTTACTAAGCAATTGAACAGGTGTACCTAATAAAGTGGCCGAAAAGAATAAACAGATAGATGTATAGGTACATAGATAGATGTATAGGTAGATAGATAGATGTATAGACAGACACAGACAGATGTATAGATAGATGTATAGATAGACAGACAGATGTATATAGATAGACAGACAGATGTATAGATAGAGATGACAGATGTATAGATAGACAGATAGATGTATAGGTAGATAAACAGACAGATAGATGTATAGACAGACAGACAGATAGATGTATAGATAGACAGACAGATGTATAGATAGACAGATAGATGATGTATAGGTAGATAAACAGACAGATAGATGTATAGATAGACAGATAGATGTATATAGATAGACAGATAGATAGATGTATAGGTAGACAGACAGACAGATGCATAGGTAGATAAACAGACAGATAGATGTATAGATAGACAGATACGGATAGATAGATAGACAGATAGATAGATAGATAGATAGATAGATAGATAGAAAGACAGACAGATATATGTATAGGATAGATAAACAGACAGATAGATGTATAGATAGACAGATAGATGTATAGATAGACAGATAGATGTATAGATAAACAGATAGATGTATAGATAGATAGATAGTATAGATAGATAGATAGATAGATAGATAGATAGATAGATAGATAGATAGATAGATAGATAGATAGACAGATAGATAGATGTATAGACAGACAGACAGATAGATGTATAGATAGACAGATAGATGTATAGACAGATAGATGTATAGATAGACAGACAGATAGATGTATAGATAGACAGATAGATGTATAGGTAGACAGACAGACAGATAGTATAGGTAGACAGACAGACAGACAGATAGATATATAGATAGACAGACAGACAGATGTATAGGTAGACAGATAGATGTATAGATAGACAGATAGACAGAGACAGATAGATGTATAGATAGACAGACAGATAGATGTATAGATAGACAGGCAGATGTATAGGTAGACAGAGACAGACAGATAGATGTATAGATAGACAGACAGATAGATGTATAGACAGACAGACAGATAGATGTATAGACAGACAGACAGATAGATGTATAGATAGACAGACAGATAGATAGATAGATGTATAGACAGACAGACAGATAGATGTATAGATAGACAGACAGATAGATGTATAGATAGACAGACAGAGATGACAGACAGACAGACAGATAGATAGATAGATAGATAGTATAGATAGATAGATAGATAGATAGATAGATAGATAGATAGATAGATAGATGTATAGGTAGACAGACAGATATATGTATAGATAGATAAACAGACAGATAGATGTATAGATAGACAGACAGATAGATGTATATAGGACAGACAGATAGATGTATAGACAGACAGACAGATAGATGTATAGATAGACAGACAGATGCATAGGTAGATAAACAGACAGATAGATGTATAGATAAGACAGATAGATGTATAGATAGACAGACAGATAGATGTATAGGTAGACAGACAGATAGATGTATAGATAGACAGGCAGACAGACAGATAGATGTATAGACAGACAGACAGATAGATGTATAGATAGACAGACAGATGTATATAGTAGATAGACAGATAGATGTATAGGTAGACAGACAGATAGATGTATAGGTAGACAGACAGATGTATAGACAGACAGATAGATGTATAGACAGACAGACAGATAGATGTATAGGTAGACAGACAGATGTATAGGTAGGATAGACAGATAGATGTATAGATAGACAGACAGATAGATGTATAGACAGACAGACAGATAGATGTATAGACAGACAGACAGATAGATGTATAGACAGACAGACAGATAGAGATAGATGTATAGATAGACAGACAGATAGATGTATAGATAGACAGAGACAGACAGACAGAGGTATAGGTAGAGATCTTTCCTATTAGAAGAACACTATAGACATGAAAGGCGATGTTAGATCGGAGTAAAGCTGACGATTCCAGTTCTTTCCAGTATTTTCCTCTGTGGTGTGATGACGTCAGAGAAGAGGGAACGCGCTGTTCCTGTGTATAGTACAATAGTACATTCAGAAATACCCCGGAGAGCTTCCCATGACATCATGTACAAAGGAGGGCGGAGCGATCGTTGACACGCCCTGGAATCCCCGCCTTCCATCCTGCTTCAGGAAATCCTTATTACTACAGGGAATGCTGTTTGACCAATCAGAATGCTGAGAGGCATCACACTTCATATCTGTCTCCGCATTCATGAATGGAGGGGCGGGGCCATGCGCGGCCAATCAGCGCTCACACAAGTCTAGCTGGGCTTTAAACAAAAGCTGGCTGTGTGGGGCGGCGCGGTCATAGCGGAGTGTATACGGACCGGGCTCGGTTCTGATCCGTAGATTGCAGTCCAGGCTGGGTGGGCGTGGTGCGGTGCCGGTATATGGAGTGAGCCCCCCCGTGCCCGCTCCCCATCGTACTATGTCGGATCAGCTGGTGGCGGAGAGCCGGGCTCTATTGGAGGATTACCTCCAGCGCTGCCTCCGCCGGGACTGTCAGCCTCCTCCGAGCCCGGTGGCGCAGACCCTGTGGAGGGTGACCGGGGAGATCCTCGCCAAGAACCGGGACTTCTACGAATCGTGCGAGCTGCTCCCCGGAGAGCCCCGCACTACCCTGGAGCAGGTGGCGGCTCAGCTCCCGGAGGACGGAGGACTCAACTGGGGCCGGATCATCGGGCTCATCGCCTTCGCCGGGGTCCTGCTGCAGAGACACAAGGCGGGGACCACCCCCGAGGAGCTGGCCGGCCTGCTGAGCACGTTCCTGGCGGTGCAGCACGGCGACTGGTTCCGGGAGCACGGAGCATGGGTAATCCTCTCCCTTCTATCATCTCTTCTCTATGAGAGCCGAGCTGTCAGTCACTACACGAGCCGATTCCATCGGTTGTTAAGGCTGATCCTCGTTTGGTAAATCTGTGTTTTGTGAAATCAGATTGTACAGTGTATGGCCAGCTTAAAGATGACAATCCTTTAGATGTGCCATCGACTATGTAGTAGAAGGGGCCACCAGACTGGCTTCACATTGAATGCATTGTTTCGGTTTGTCTCATACATAGTTGGCATATCTGAAGGAGATTGTACAATCAGATTGCAAAGTGTATGGACAGATTAAAGGTGAACATAATCCTATACAGTCTGTCATCTCGTTTAGCTATGCAATAGGAAGACACGTCTAAACTGGCCATTCAGGCAGATCCTTGTACTATACTAGCTCATGGGTAGACCTAAATGAGATTGTACAATCGGATTGTATGATCATATAAGTGGTGGCCATACACAGTGTCACTTAACTGAACAATTGATGTTTGATTGGACAAAAGGATGGAATTGGCCATTGATCGGATGAGCCAAAAATGGCATGGATGAATGACAGATAGTGGTGGTTTTGATTGGCCCAAGCTGGTTGTACTGACAAAATTGGCTTTGGAAAAAAAGATCAGTGTATGTAATACACAATGTCACAAAATGTCATCGATCAATCCTGCCCCCCTTTTTATTTTTTATTATTCTTCCACAACCAAAGTCGTGCCATTTTCTGTGACATGATATTCAATCAATTTTTCAAATCAAAAATTGATTTGATCAGTTCTATTGCCCCGTGTATGGCCACCATAATACTCAGCAGTGTAAACTATGTCGCCCCCAGAGCAGGAGGGAGGATCCATTGGCTGCTTAACGCACTGACCGCTCAGCTGCTAAAAGATGCCGGGTGCCTGGCTGTGATGACTAGGGGCTCCGTGTGCTGTGGTCTGTGGCTGATCTGTTGCCTGTCTGTGATGACTAAGGGCTCTGTGTGCTGTGTTCTCGATGGCTGACATATTGCCTGGCTGTGTGTGGGGCGGCAGGTTGCCTGGTTGTGATGACTGAGGGCTCCGTGTGCTGTGGTCTCAGTGGCTGATCTGTTACCTGGCTGTATGTGGGGCGGCAGGTTGCCTGGCTGTGATGACTAAGGGCTCCGTATGCTGTGGTCTCAGTGGCTGATCTGTTGCCTGGCTGTGATGACTAAGGGCTCTGTGCTGTGCTCTTGATGGCTGACATATTGCCTGGCTGTATGCGGGGCGGCAGGTTGCCTGGCTGTGATGACTAAGGGCTCTGTGTGCTGTGCTCTTGATGGCTGACATATTGCCTGGCTGTATGTGGGGTGGCAGGTTGCCTGGCTGTGATGACTGAGGGCTCCGTGTGCTGTGGTCTGTGGCTGACCTGTTGCCTGGCTGTATGCGGGGTGGCAGGTTGCTGGCTGAGGGCTCCGTGTGCTGTGGTCTCATGATCTGTTGCCTGGCTGTGATGACTAAGGGCTCCGTGTGCTGTGGTCTCAGTGGCTGATCTGTTGCCTGGCTGTGATGACTAAGGGCTCCGTGTGCTGTGGTCTGTGGCTGATCTGTTGCCTGGCTGTATGCGGGGTGGCAGGTTGCCTGGCTGTGATGACTAAGGGCTCCGTGTGCTGTGGTCTCAGTGGCTGATCTGTGGCCTGGCTGTACACGTGTGATGACTAAGAGCTCGGTGTGTTCCAGTCTCATCAATGGCAGCTCTGAGTCATAGGCAAAGTATTTCTGCTGGAAATGGCTCATCCCCATCAATGTATACATCGTATTTGTTTAGATCGCCTGTCACTGGGGAGGTCTGATCTCTGGAAATGGCCTTTGTATGGGATATGATGACCCTTGGCTGCCACCCATACAGCATGCTTTATGTAATCCCAATCCCTGAAATGTCAGAGGATGGATTGTGTAATTTTCAGCCCTGAATCTGCAGCTTTCATTGACAGCACCCAGGTGATCTGCTGTGAGCGTCCATATTCAGGCATTTCACTAGGGTGACAGCACTCCCTCTTTCCCAGTTGTGTTCCGGTGTTGTCACCCTTTCACATAAGCTGCCATGAAGATGCACATGCATGTTCCACGGTTATAACCAATGATGTTCCCGGGTGACTCCCTGCCTCCCAGTTGTATGTCTGCGTTGTCACTCACGTATGCTGTCAGAATGAACTATTGGGTGGACTTACTAAAGGTGCATAAGCTGTTCTAGTTGCTAGGGAAAATGCAATTTGCAAGGGAGTTTTTCCCAGAGCTTAAGGTAAGTGGTGTAAGTTCACTCGCAGTGAACAGCTAATCACTTGCGAGGAATATAAAACCGTATTTTTGCTTGCATATGATGGACGTTAACTGCACTTCACATCACTCCCTAAGCTAAAGAAAAATTCCCTTCCAAAGTGCAACTAGTACTACACACTAGCTTACACATCTTGCATCTGCATGCTCCTGGGTCTAATAACTTGTTTACATGGGTGGTAAAACACTGGCTCAACCACCTGCTTATAGTTGCTGTGAACCCCTTTAAGACCTGGGCCACACTGGAATGTGTGTGGTCACGCATGTTCTGATTTTTACAGCCAATTTACTTCAATGGGCTACCAAATGTATCGGAGCATGGAAAGTACCATTTGCAATGTGAAAAAAGTACTGGTACCACGTGGTTTGGTGGCTGCAAAATGCATTGCATTAGTGAGATGCATTTGGGGTGCCATTAACAATTAATTGGCACCTGCGTGCGTCTTGCGAGGTCAGTGCATTGACTGTGCAGGAAATGTGCACAGAACACTTAATCCAGTGTGAGGTCCCTTAGGCCTGGATCCCACCTATGTGGTTTAGTAGAACTGCACTGCTGTCCATTTCACAGGTTTTCCTATGGGATGTTCACACCTGTGCTTTTTTTGAGCTGCTGCATTTTTGGAAAGGGTCAGGGGCTTAACAGCAAAAAGCAGTGTTTTTGCTACAACAGAGTTCAATGGGGAAGCTGCTGAAATGCATGTAGTGATTTTTTGCGACATTTTTGCATTTTTGGGGTTTTGTTTTAATCCTGCCCAGCAACAAAAAAGCTAAAAAAAAAAAAAGCACTGCGAAGCATGCACAAAGCATTGGTGTGAACCAGGATTTAGACTTTAGAAGCCATGCACACCACTAACCTAGATGAGGGGTGAGCTACTGTGGCCCTCCAGCTGTTGAACTACAAGTCCCATCATGCCTCTGCCTTTGGGAGTCATGCTTGTAACTGTCAGTTTTGCAATGCCTCATGGGACTTGTAGTTCTACAACAGCTGGAGGGCCACAGTTGCCCATCCCTGATCTAGATGTATTCAAAGAGGCAGCATGCGGCCAGTGTGAATTGTCTGATACACAAAGATATATAATGTGGAAATGGGACTCTTGCATATGATTTTAGTGTTTGAACATTCTTCAGTGGTCACACAGTGCAGGTTATGTGTAGAACAACCAGTGTTTGTCATAGTGACCTGTGTATGCAGGCCCTGAGGGGCCCATTCACATCTGTGTCTTATAAGAGTTGTAATGTGCATTTGGGGGTCTAATGTGGCCTCCAATGTACAACCACACACCAAATGATGATCATGACTGTACATGCATCCTAGTGTAGACACCAGTTCATGTAGTCCAGTGCACTCCTTAGACCTTGTTCACTTGGGTGTATTAGAGCGTAGATCTGTGCAGTCCCATTCATGTTCATTAGGATGCAGCGGCTGCTCCCAATTCTGCAGCCTTGTGGGCTCAAATGATATGACTCAAAAGACATGACATGAACAGCACTGCCTGCACAGGGATGTTGGGGACATGCAGGCAACACGGATGTATTCTGTAGCATGCTCATGTGGACAGCGGTTTTACATCTGGAAACCCTCCATTGAATGTTTAGCCACTGTGCATGGGATCCCAGGATTTTTGGTGCAGGTGGAAGAGGCTGTAAAACTCTGAGGCTGAAAACTGCTGCAGCTGAACAGTACAGCAAGCGATCCTAGCGTTTATGGTAGTATGTGCCCAGGGGTGAATGCCAGAAAACAGACTTCTTCCATACTGCCCAAAACCAATTAATGCACTGTCCAAGTGCAGCCTCTTTCAGCCTTCCATAGAGGTTTACAGGCTGGTGACAGCAGGGCTTGTGCCCCCCCCCCCCCCCCCACCAATATGAAAAACACACCGGGGGTCAAAGTGCTGTGCCAATGAATATCAAGCCCAATAGGTTGGCACAGCATCCCATCGCATTGGCATTAGCAAGGGGGACCTTCTTGTTGCCAAATTTTAATGGGATCCATCCTTAAAGCGGAGCTCCACCCAATAGGGAAGTTCCACTTTAAGCCTTTGTCCCCCGCCCCCTGTTAAGGATTGGCATCTCTGGGGAGCGGGTACCTGAATTTGACAAGCACCTGCTTTCACTTCCACTGTGATCGCTTAGGCGATCAGATGCAGAAGTTGTCCTACCCCCCCCCCCCCCTGTCACGTCAGACACGTCACGTCAGAGGTCCCCGAAGACTTCAGGGCCATTCACAAAGCGCAGCGCTTCTCGCATATGTGCAGTGGGCACCCGGCTGTGAAGCCTCAAGCTGTCACAGCTGGGTGCCCATACTGAAGATGCCGGCGCCAGGGAAAGATGGCGGTGAAACCAGCCATGGTGAGGACACTGCTGGATCGAGAGACAGGTAAGTGGCTGTATTTTAAAAGTCAGCAGCTACAGTTTTTGTAGCTGCCGACTTTTGCATTCTTTTTTTTTTTTTTTTTTTTTTTTTTTTTTTTTTTTTTTTTTTCTTCTTCTGGTGAAATTCTACTTTAAATTGGTTGTAAACCCTTCCATGTACCCAGTGAGGTGATTGGCCTCAGAGGATATACAGATGAAACCAATATCCTTCTACATCAGTTGTACCTTTCTGTCTGCAGCTGTTTCCTCTACATTCATTCAAAGTGCAGAATTTACACAGGATCTCTCTGCTATGAAAAGCAGGGGCTGGGAGCTGAAGTTACTCATT